GCTAACTTAAGTCTCATAACTGTTCTCTTCTTCCAGGACCTGATCAGTTTGTGGTCTCATTGCTGCAACTAACAATTATTGCCACTTACAATTGTGTGTTTTTTTCCGATGTAGTCACTTGTATATGGACTTTAACCTATTGTAAATTAATTCCTTGCAGGCCATAAAACTGTCATCATAAGGAAATGCATTTGATTACTATGGACCACATCAGAAATAACAATCTAGTGCTACAACATTACTAATTCTCAAGTATTCAATGGTCCCACCCCATCTCCAACTGTATTATAAAACTGTATTATAGGTGCGGTATTATAAAAACCCAAACCATTAAATTAGATAAAGAAAGATAGTTGTTTCTTTGTATTTTTTAAAAATATATTATGGGATGGATGATACAGTGTTCTTTTTTTTTTTTCAACCGATAGAGTCATGGGACCCAGACCTTTTAAAGAGTTTAGGGGCATTTCAGAGGACACAAGAAGGGTGGCAGCACAGCAATGAAACACAACAGTGGATGGATTTCAAGGCATGACTGCTGACAGGTCTGCATGGCAGTTGTTCTGCTAGCTAGCATATGAACCTTTCAATCAGCAGAAATGAAGTGCACTACAGAAGTGGACAAAGAATAATTCTTCTGACCAAGTGCCAGAAGGAAAGGAGCACACTGGATAGCTGCTTTGATCCTTGGCAAGTCCCAAAGTGTCAGAATAACTAGGTTGCTAACTGGTATTGGGAAAAATAGTGAGCACATTGTATTTTATTAATCTGCTAAAACAGCCAAATCCTAAGCAGCCAGGACAGGCTAAAAACTATGATAGACTAAGCTTGTCAAGATTTTGATAGTTAAGAGTACAAGGAGAAACAGTTATCTGTCACTTTGAAGGCTGGCTTGCTAGAATGACTTCTCAGGGTCGTGTATAGCACAGGCTAAATGGAGAGAACAGGGATTTAGGCAGGCTAAAAAGGAGGCAGCTATAGCAGTGTACCAGGTGCAGCCTCTGTGAGGACAGATGAGTGCAGGACAAAGTTGGTTCCAGACACCTCTGGTTCCAGACCCACCACAGGTCACAGCTAAGCCCCACAGCCCTGCTGGCAGCCCCTCTGTGAAAATGAATTTAAGAATGAGAAAAACCCAGGGAGAGAAAGAGGGAACAAAAATACTGAATATCTAAGTCAGAAAAGAAGTGAGGCAGAAATGCTTAAGGCACTGGAATAGGTATTTCCTCATTTCCTCTCCTCACAGAGAGAGGACTATGCTGGGGTATATCCACACCATATTCCATGAAGGATCCCATTCCAGAGCAGGTCCAGGAAATCCTTCCTGGATAGTTCCCGAAGGAATTAAAGTCCATGGAGAGTCTACGCTGAAGCAGATGGCTGCCCACATGGAGAGTCCACAGTGGTGCAGGGAAACAGCATGAGGTGGTAGGAGCAGCAGAGAGGAGTTGGTGTGGACTGACTGCAAACCCCTGTGCCTAGCAGCATGAGAAGAGCAGTCACAAGTGAAGCTGAGATTAAAAGGCAGGGTAATGCTAATTTTTAAATTGTTTCTATCTGTCTAAATCTACTTCAAAAAATAAATTAAAATAGTTTCCCCGAGTCAGCTGTTTTACCTGTGATGATAACTACCATGCAATATCTCTTATCTAGACCTCAGCACATGAGCTTTCTCATCCTGTTTTGTCCTCCTGTCTTCTTGAGGAGGACTGAGAGAGCATCTGGGTGGGCATCTGACTGCTGGCCAAGGCTAACCCAAAAAAAGCACTCAAAATGAGAAGAAATACAAGGGGAATGCTGAAGATTTTAGCAGAGATAGTGTAAAATTATTTCTTCATCTGATGAGATTACAGGATCACAGAATCACAGAATATTCTGAGCTGGAAGGGACCCATGAAGATCATTAAGTCCATTCTTAAATGACTGGCCCATACAGGGATTGAACCCACAACCTTGGCATTATTACCATAACTAATAGATGACTAAATACACGTTAAAGAATCTAGTAATAAAATGAATATATTTAATATCTCTTCCACTGTTTATACAACCAGAATATTAAGAAATAAAGAAGAAATCAATAATGGAATACAGTTTATCAGCAAGCATAACAAGAGTTTATTTTATAACAAAATTAACCTCGACTTTTTGAGGGGAAAGTGTTTCAAGAAATAACTTATTTTTCATAGATAAAAAAAAAGGACTGCCCATGGATTTTAAAATAAGACATGTTCTTAAATGATTTTTCTTTTTATTAGAAGACATTTTAAGAAAACTTTTTATGTTTGAGCTTCAAGTAGATGGAATTTCCTTTCACCACTCTTTCAGTAAAATTTTATTCATTTCTATTGTCATTTTGCTATTATCTTTTGGTCATCTTCAGTATTTTGAGAATAAAACTGAACCAAATCATAATCCTCTTGAGGTCTCTGTTTGTCCTTGGTAATATTCTGCTTTGATTTTTTAAATTTGTTTAAACATTCACTTTGCATTTAGGTATTTGTCCATAATATATAGATGGTATAAGATAAAGAAAGATCTCTTATTTCATCAGGAACTTTTGTGGAAATAATTCAGCTCCAGGAGTAGGATAAAGATAGTTAATGTGACAAGACCCAGGGTAAGACAAAAAATAACCTTCTAAAGAACACCTTGTAATTTATGAAGGACATGAAACTAATTGCTAAAAATATTTTCTCTCTTAGCATATCCAGTGCGAAAGTTCTTCAACAGGTATGCTTCACAAATATTCATGAAGATTAAAAAGGTCGCTCCACAGTGGTCTGGAAATAATCATTCTGGACACAAGCATGCCCAAGCACTTTTTGGCAAAGCCAAATGTATGATACTAGATGTTCCATCCAGTCACAGTGCAGGGCAGAAGGTGGTGTAAATTATCCCTGCTCTCATGGCATATTAGAAGCACGCACAGAGATCGATTCCCTTGGCTCTGATTTCTCTTACTTTTGTTTGCAGAATGTTACACCCCCATAAACCCAAAGGCAGATGATCTAGTATCTACATTGCTGACTTCTGGAATTCTTGTAGGGATAGAATATGGAGAGGAATGAGGCTACTTTAATGGATCAGAGTATACTGTCTTATCCTGCATCTAACTAAGATTACTAAGGATGTCTGTAAAATCCCTCTGAGATCTATAGGTAAAAATTTAGCATTATGAATTAATAATACAGATCCTGAAGTGATACAGTGGAATTTTGTGGATATTTGCTCATGAATACCTCAACACAGAAATATCAAAACCTTCAATTTCAAACTCCTGTAAGTAAAGCTGCAGTTAATAGTAGTACTTGTCCAACTTCACTTGATTCTGAACTTTACCCATTTTCTTTTGATTTCTTTCTTAAAACAAAAGTAAATCCCAGAATTTCTAGTGGAGAAAGAAAGGCTTATGGTTCCTTTACTAGTAAGTAATCCATTTCTTCTTGTTCTGATTTTTTACTGTGTGAGAAACCGTTTAAGAACAACAGTGTAAACTTTATAGTTTACGCACAAGCCATGTTCACTAATGCTAGGTAATTAGTTACCATTATGATATAGGGTTTACATTTTAGATACTTCCCAAACAAAATCAATAATTTCCCTTTGTTCTTCTAGGAGAAATAGTATGGCAATTTTTGAATGATTTACAATCAATTTTTTTTAGTTCCTGCTGGAAGGAGCATCCTGACATTTCTAATTCTTATGTTTTCATCATTCTTTAGGTTGACAAACCAGAAAAGATACATTATTTTGCTACTCACTAATGTGCTACATGGGCCTAGCAACTATGTATATCAAGAATTAAGAAGCAATATGGTAACTACAATTTTCAGAAGAAAGATGGCTGTTTCTCAATCAATTCACTGCATCAGGTTAATCTGTACTAAGCATATGGCCTTCTCTACAGCCTTTCCCCAAACACTTCAATCTTTGTGCACATAATGGCATTGCTTTCAAAACCAAAATGCTACCTTGTAATCCAGGACAATAAATTCTGAATGCCAAGGACATGTATCTCTTACTGCAAAACACAATACTTTCTGCACTATATGAGTTTTTAAGGTTAAAAGACGTCAGCAGGGAAAAGGTGGGGGCACAAAGCAAGAGCCTCTACCAGCACAGTTTGCTGCAGCTAAAACACACAGTTTTAGGTTCTGTTACTTTCTTGAATATTAAGGGAAAGAAAGACTTGAAAAAAGGATCTGAAAATTAAATTAGTTTTGGTGAACACAGAAACAAAAATGAAGAATAGATTCCCATGCTGCTGTGAATTCAAGATGTGATAAGGGAAATTAACACCCCAAGGTAATAAAAACACTTATTTTGCTTTGTGTTGCTCTAGACTAAAAACAGTTATAAAACAATCAACAACTAGAGCTACAGTTAAAAACAGTCCTTTTGCCTAAATAATTAATATATAAGCTTTGTTAGACTTTCAAATAATGCTATACCAGGGCAAAACTGTGCTAGTCAAAGAGAATACTTAAGATTATTAATCAATTTTAAAAATGCTCTAAAAATATCATTAAAGTTTCTGACTACAGGTTACATCTTACTGTCTTTTCCTTATCTTTTACTACGTATCAAAGACTAAAGTAGCATGCACAAAGCCATATGTTTTATGGTCACCATGCATGTGACATCACCAAGTGACCTCTGGCTTACACGGCACAGACTTAGCTCCATAGAAATTGTCAGCTGTTTGGATGTTCAGTTGTCTTCACCAGAAATAGTGCTCTCAGTGATTAGGGGAGGAAAGGTGGATTTGGTAGTAAGTTTTGTAGTAAGAAATAAGAAGTTTGTGTACTACAAAATTGTATTTTATTTCACTAAAAATGAGCAGTTTTTTAGGACAAAAGAGGTTGAAAGTAGAAATACACTCTAAGAAAAGGAAGCCACCTTACAACTTCTACTCCTTTCCTTCCCTAAGCAAAAGCAGTGGTAAAACTTTGATATGTTTAGAAATACAAATCAGAGGAATCATTTTAAATTCTTACCTTATGAAGAGTGTCTTCCACAGCTTTCATATGACTAATGATCAATTCTCTGTCTCTATTACAAGATTAAAAAGAAAAAGAAGTAGATCATAGAACTGAAACTCACCTGCATTAGCAATTAATTTTCCGCTACTTTTTAACTATCGTGTCTTTTCAAAATTGTTGATAACTCAAAGTATTAGGTTTTTGTCTCTCCTTTGTATATCCCCATTGCAAACGTTAAAAAATAGTTCATGTACCACTGTTTGGAATATTTCCATTTGAAATTTGCTTCTGTTGTGAAGTATCAAACTAGCTGTTATTACGGACATATTCAGGAACAACTATCATTTTACTGGAGAGTTTTAGATGTAAAAGGCATGTTGAAAGGAGTCTTCTATCAGGAAGAGAATATATTCTCTTACATTTCCAAAAGTCCAGCCAAATATCCTACTCTTACAATAGGGAGGTTTGGAGAGTGAAACAATTCTCTAATGCCCTTTTGTAGAGGCTTCAGTAAGAAAGACAGCTCTCGTCAGCTATGCTGTCATGAAAAACCTTGGCCTCAACTCATGACTGACAGAAATAGAATTGAAGTTGCATAATACCATATGACTAAGGAGAAAAGAGAGCATGACCATAGGAAGTCAAAAAGAATCCATGCCAGAAAAGCTAATACACCTCAATATTCTGCGACTGTCTTATTTTGCCAACTATGTGTATGTTTTGTTTGAGCTTTTACAATACAGAATCCATAGAATCAGTATGATTTAGCTTGGAAAAGACTCTTAAGATCACTGAGTCCAACCATAACCCCAGCACTGCCCAGTCCTCCACTAAACCATGTCTCAAAGGGCCACATCTTTTAAATACCTCCAGACTCTACAACTCCCCTGGGTAGCCTGTTCCAATGCCTGACAACATTTTCAGGAGAGAATATTTTCCTAATATCCAATATAAACCTCTCTTGGCACTACCTGAGGCCATTTCCTCTTGTCCTATCACTTGTTACTTGGGAGAACAGCCCAAGCCCCAGGTCACTACAACCTCCTTTCACGTAGCTATGGAGAGCAATAAGGTCTTCCCTCAGCCTCTTTTTCCTCAGTCAAAATCATGGCATTCTTCCCCATGGAGTGATGACTGCTTTCTCATTTCTTGATTCATACTATCTTAACAGAAAATAGAGGAAGGTGGCCAGAAGAGTAGAATTGGTTTTTACATTCCTAATAAAGCCACATAGACTTTTCTATTCTCAGGATCCCACCTTTCTTTGGACTAGATTGACAGGGTACTTGGTTGCTGGCCAGGGTTAGACCACAACACAGAGAAATTACCAAAGACGACTGTATTTTTGTCAGGTTCACTGTTTCAGACACTTTTATTAATATTGCTTCTTACTCGTGAGGAAAGTGGAAAGAACTGCTAGCTACCACTAAAAGAAAACCAAGACAGCCATTCTCAGAACAAGCTAGATATCTTGCTGTCTTTTACAGCAGTACAAAAGTTTAGGAAAGAAACTGAAAGACACCCACCCATTGCCTACAATCACTGAGGTAATGGAATTGATATAAAAATAGGAGTTTCTGGATAAGACCAAAGTCTATTTAACTACTTTGCTTACGTGTTCCAAAGGAAGAAAAAGACACTTGCGCTTGCTCTAAAGAGCAAGTAGAACAGCTGATGTTAGAACATAACATAATGTTGTTATGGTAGAACAATGACTGGTTTGGAAGTTTTCACCTTAAAAAAACCTTTTCTGAATATAAGAATGGCTATAGGGAATGATTCTTACTGGAGTGCATAAAATGGATTGGGGCAGGGTGAAAAGGAGAAGGCTTTTAATAACAAATCCTTCTTTGGGTCATAATCTGCTTTGATACACTTATACTAAATAATATTTGTCATTTTAATTAGCTTGTTAAACATGTCACTGATAACTATATTAATTACATTATTTTGCTGGTGCATAAGCCCCTTAAAGCTTCTAAGCTATTGTTCTTCAGAGGTCAAATCTACCCCACATATAAAGAGAAATTTTAATTCTAAATTGAACTTTTTAAAAATCTTGGCCATGGACCAACAGTATTCAAAGTGCATACTACTGTAACAGTAACAGATAACAAAGTCTGAAAGGATTTATAATTTTATCTGACTATATAACTCTAAGAGGTTATTAATAATCTCATTCAAGACAATGGAACAGCTTTTGACTACCAATACTTTCAAAAATGGTCCCTGAACATTTCCTTCCACTCTTCAAGTTATAGTATAAAAAGGCATGGGGTTTACATCTAAATCCAAAATTCTGTGAAATCACAAGAAATATCTATACTATTCCACAGATAAGCCTAGGTCCAAAATGGGTTTCAGCCCCTTTAGAACAAACAATCATTCCTTAAACAAACAGAATGTGAGGGATATACCAAAGAGATGTTGTCAAATCAGTAAGGTAATTGGCAGACAAAATGCTTATGTATTTTGGACCAAGAATTTCTAGCACTATTATGGGATAACTACAGAAAATGTAACATGAAGTATCTTGAACTAACAGTTTTCTTTTTGGAAGTCTATCACTGAATTTCAAAGACAGACAGATGTACTTTTGTTTTCTGGCATTACATTAGCTAAGGCTAAAACCCTGTGCATGAAAGTAAGAATTGATCTTTTGTCCGTTTTAAGTGATCTCCCCAAGGTCCCAGTGCTCACTTCGCTGCCGTGCAGAGGGCACTCTCTGCATCACGGATGCTCTCGCTCAGCCGACGCTTGTCCTGCTCCAGCTGGGTAAGAAGTCTATTTTGCTGACGCAGAAATCGATCTCTTCTTCTCAGCTCCATCGCTGCCTCAGAGAGACTCTGCAAGCAGACAGAAAACAGAGTTACTTGTCAGCCCAAATAATTAACTTCAGTTTATGCCATAGGCTATTAAACAAAGTGGAAAACAGACTGACTGTGTAGTAGATTTGGACCATTGCATACTAAGGTTTTATAAATTCTCTACCAAAATATTAGCAACTCAGAAACCCCCAGTTTTTAGTATATTGACTGTGTACAAATATATTTATAACATAAAATTATTTTTTGATCAAGCAGGGACATACACTATGCTACAAGTACTGTATTTACAAATACCGGATCTAAACACAAAGGAAATAATCTCTTTAAAGAACACAGAATAGTCACAAACTTAATTTAAAATAAACATTAAAGAAAGGAATTCACAATGAAAGGGAATAAACACAGAAGCATTTATTTAAATATTCTGCACTGTTCAGAAATTTCAGTAGAATAGATAATCTCATATTCTCTGTTAGTGCATCAAGTACAATTTATTTTATAGTGCTTTCACTATTACACCATTAGTTTCCCAATATGCAAAATAGTATGTATATTTTTTAAGCATTTCTCTCTGGCTTAGAGTTAACAAAACATGCTTTAATCAATTCAGATTAATCCAATAGGTGAAAAATAGCACATAGGACTAATTAATACAGAACCTGGTTGGATGCTACTCCTTGCTACTGGGATAAATCAATACATTTATAGACCAGAGTATTAATAATTTGATTTCATAATTTGTTACATGTTACATTTTACTTACAGCTGTTAATTGCCTTTTTAGAAAGAAATTATAATCGGTGGTTATAAACATTCTTTTACACACAGCATATTTCCTGGTAGATTCTAAAATACAGAAGAAAAGGCTGCACAGTTGCAAGACTGAGCTTTTTTTTTCAAATTTACACCTTTTTTTCAAAATTTATGGGTATATTTTCTGCTTGAATTCTACGAATGCTCTGCATAATTTGTACTCAGTACTTGTCCTGGACTGTGGTACATGGAGATGTGCTATGCTGTGGATGAGTATGAAGAACAGTACATATAAAATGCTGATAAAAATTTGGAGAGTGCTGAAAACTCAACTAATCTGAAGAAGTTTCAGACCTCTTTAAGGATCAGAGGCGCTTCAAAAAGCATTATGATAGAGAAATTTTCTACAAAATACAAATCTACAGCAAAGGACTGCCTAGTCCTGTAAAACTGTTATCTGTGGACTGGCATAATTCTTCTTCTTCCATTCCTAAAGAGAAAAGGCAACCAGTTACTTCCATAGTGGTATATTTTGAAGGTACAGCACCATTACTTGAAGTCTTGTTCAGGAATTTACAATATTTAAGCTGAAATTAATCACAACTGTAAGAAAAAAATTGAAGTTTATTTAAGAAACTTTAAACCCAGAAATGTTTATATTATTCTTATTCAAATGACTGCAGGTTGAATAATTCTATTTTGACTCTTACGTCCTTATTTTCAATAAAAAACTAATGTATTTCCTCTAAGGAAAGATAAACACACAGATAACATTCATTCAGTGCACAAGGATATTCAAAACCTTGAAGTCTTGCTTTCAAAAATTCTACCCTTAAGCCACTGGTAACTATCAAATCCCTGTCTAAAGAGATGACTTTGTGAATTATCAGATTTTCAGAAATTTTATTTCCAAGAACTGAAATGTGGACTAGCATGGATGAAAGGATCCATCTCTGGTTCAAAAACAAAGAGCATTATCTTCTTCCAATTATTGTGTTTACTGTTTGCTCTCAACAGTGAGGAAAGAGTTCTGAAAACTAAGTCAAGTAACCCCCTACCCATATTCTCACCTTTGACAAATGGACTATATTTGAACACAAAACAAGGTCTCTGTTACCAATGTTTGGTCCAACCCAGTTTCCCACCTGATTGAAAAATCTGGTTTTAAGCAATTTCTGCTAGTATTTTGATGCAATAAATTTTGGATGCAAATGCTGTTGAATGGATCTTGGCCCTAAGATCCTAGCAGTCATAGTAGAGTAGAGAAAAAATAGGATAATAGGAACATTATGCATATTTATTTTCTTTTTATTATAGCTGTCCATCTGCAGGGGTTGAAGAGTTGTCAGCTCCCACATAAATCTTTCGTTACTGACCATGAACAGTGAAAAGACCCACTAGTCAAAATCTTCTGTGAGTTGCTAACTAACCTAGGTTACTCACTGCAAGAAATGCCTATTAATGAGGCCATAGCAGGGCCTAACTTTTTTAAGGGGCATGGTCAGCAATCCATGCTAGCTGGTGATGAAGCAATATAGTATCTCACTTAAGAGCTGCTCTATTATATTCAAAGAGAACCCCATTATTTACAGAAATCTCTAAATGATTCAGACTTTATCTAGTAACATTTCAATATCTAAGCAAAATGGAAACTGATTTTAGCACTTCAAAAGCAGTTTCAGCAATTACTTGAAGCTTCTTGCTACTGTGAGTTAAAGTCAAGCCTTGGAAATGTTCAAATACAGTATGGTGTATTATAAAATAATGGCTGGTAAGCCTCTTTTTTTGCTTCTTCAGATTGATCTAATTAAAACCCTTGATAAACTTTATGGACTCTAATATTTCCAGCTGAGTGACTGAAACCAAGAGGGTGTGCCTCAAGGCAGCAAGGCAACAATGATAAGCAGCAGGTTAGCCACTAATTTCTCAGCTAGGGTAGATTGTGAAAGTGTGATGTTCTGATATCCAAGAAAGTGTTCAGGAGAGAATAGGATAAATCAAGTTTAATAACTCTGCTCCTAATTGTTCCCTCAATGCTCCACTCTAATTACTCGGAGAACTCTCCTGACTGTCACCTGATATTAAGTTGTTGGAGGCTGAGTGTGGAGCAGTGAGATAATCAATAAACATTTAGTGGGGAGAAGAATGAAGATCCCGTTAAGCAGTGGGAACCTGCAGCACCCAAAGCCCTTCTGCTCATGAGAAAACCTATGGGAGAGCCATAGTGATTGCAAAGCAATAATCCAAAGCACTGGTTTTAGGCTTTGAGGCCTTTAGGCAACAGTACATTTGAGAAAAAAAGGTTAACACGGTCATCCTAATTACAGCCCATTTTCACATTCTTCATATAGAAGCAAAGACAAGCCAATTAGGTAGAAAGGAAGATAAGGGAAGTTTTATTTGTATACTAATTAAACCCCTGATGAAATTAAAGGAAAAACATACAGCTCTGTAATTGTGTCTGAGAAAGGTCACTTCAGGTTCAGTTATCAGAAAAGCACAGCCTTGAGATATTTCACTTAATCCACAATATAGCCCTTATTTTGCCCCCCAGGTCTTAGTATTTACAAAAATAAGAAAATTTCAAAACTTGATAATGCATTTATCTTGAAATGTTTCCTGTGGACAATTACAACTGTTAGAAAGTTGAGGCTAACTGTGATAAGAAGAATGAAGGTTTTAAAAACCTAGTATGTTTGCACATAGTTCTGTGAAGATGCTGAGCTTTCACTTTCAAGTACAAGTGATTCTGAACCAACTTAGAAGCTAAACTCCAATTTATTAACATTCTGCAGCATGCCAGTTATATGTCTTTCTCAGGTTTTTAGGCACTCGTGTGCTAATTCAGACATCACTGCGCTCCTTCCTCTCCAGTCTGCCAAAATCTCATAGATCAGTAGAGTTTTCATCAGAATCTTTAGAAGGAGTTTCCTTTGGAGGCATTTAGATTTTTGACCTTTTTTCCCCTCACAAATTAAGCATGAAAAAACATTTGTTAGAGAGAAGAGGAAGCAACTGATAGCACTGAAGAAAAATCTCATTGGCTGTCTGTTGGTTTGGTCCTTTCACAAACTTCCTTTAACAAGTTTAGGTTTTGCAGTCAGGAAACTTTTTATTCAAAGCCCATTACAAAAAGAAATCAAAGTTTAATATTGTCATTCTTTACACATAAAAAGGAGTCTATTAAAAAAATAATAGATGGACAATCACTTCTGATGAACAATGACAGTCATACAGTTTAAATTCATGCAAAGCATGTGTGACACATTTATACTGAGACTGTATTTTCCAAGATCAACTAAAGCTAGATCAAACTGCTTACTAAATTAGATTTAAATTGCACAGACACAACACAGCAGTACAGCAGTACAAAATATGCAAATACACTGTAGCATGTGTATAAGGAACTAATTTGTGAAATTGAAGATTTTCTGTTTCAGACAAAGTTTTATATGTATATTCTGTATTTAGATCTAAAATATTACTTTTTAAAAATACATTCTGAAAGCTGTCCCACACCCACAACTAATAAAATTTCACAATGAAAAGAAGTACAGAAAATTTAGCCAGTATCCATTCCTTCACCAGTTTAAATACACTTCCCATTATCATTGTTGGCAAATATAATGATCTCTGAGTGCCCCCCAGAAGTCTACATGTAACCTAGAGCAGTTTCAAAACAGGTACAACAAGCTACATTAATATTTAATGTTTACCATATTTTTAGTGTGCACCACTGCAATACAAACCAAATACATCAGCTCAAATTATACAGCTGAAATTCCATGGGATGTTTTTTGAAAAGAATCTTTATTTATCAAGAAGAAATAGAAATTATGCTTCTTCTATCAAAAGAGTGGATTAAAACTCTAAGGGAAAAAAGGTTCTGTGACAAAAAAAAAATTCATAACAGAGATTTCTCATCAATACTCTAAACAAATCAAACACATCTAAGAAGTACATTGAGACTTATGTCAAGAAATAAGATGGATTTACACTTCTCAAATAGAAACTATCAAGATACTATATCTGGATCCACTGTGTGTTTTACAGTGTCTGCAGTGGTGTCTTAAAACAATTTGAAATGATTTCCATGTGGCTGATCAGCTCTTGCAAAGCAGAACTGAGGCTGACCACCCATGACATCCCTCTGAATACAAATGTTTCCTATGCCCTTTAAATTTCACTAGGAAAAAAAATATGAGTGCTCAAAAGGACATTTAAATGAGATGTACCTGCAATGCAGAAAAAAAACAGTGATTTTT